AAAGTAATTTCCCGGGTGCTCCTCGCTGGGAGCCCGGCTCTCTCTGCACCGTTAGATCCGCTACCTGGTGCCTCCCTCCCCTCCTCGCTCGCTCGCCCTCCCCGCCTGGCTGCCTCCTTCTCCGCCTAGCGGTTGCCTCCTCGCTCAGCCTGCTGCTTGCTGCTCCTGCTGCCCGCTTGCTCTCGCCTGCCCGGGGACCGTTACACGCCCGCCGGCCGCTGCCTTTTGCCTCGCCTCGCTTCGCCTCTCTCGTCCCCCTGGCGTTTGGCCCCGCTGGCTGGCTGGCTGGCTGGGAGGCGGACGTTTCGCCTGTCCGGCCACCGGCCTTCTTGTCCTTTCCTTTCGGGCGGAAAGTGACGGAGCTTCTCGGGCCACTCCGGTTCCTTTTGAGGGGGGGGGAGAGCGAAAGGAGGAGGAGGCCTCTCGGCAACCTCAGCAGCCCCAACTTGGAAACTTATTACCTGAACTGAGGCGGGTCCCGTGGGGGGGGCTTCTGAAGGGGCCCCTGCCCGCCTCCCTCCTCAAAACTTTTTCTGGGGGGGCTGAGGCTGCGAGTTTGGGGGGAGTCCCGTCACCTCCTCCTCCCCTCAAAGCTGGAGAAGCCCGGAGTACAGACAACGCTCTCTTCTGCGCGCCTCCCAAATTAGGAGTTTTGTTGTTGTTTGCAGCGGGTGAGGGAAAAGTGAGGTACAAAGACTTTCTGAGGCGTTGTGGTGGCCTCCCTCCCCCCGAAACTGCGTGTAACCCGCCCGCTTGACAAACGTTGTGAACGAAACGTCGGGGCCAGGGTGATGATGGTCGTGGGGACTTTCGTTCTCTGGATCGATGTGGTGTTTTTTTCTCTCTTTTTTTTTGGCCCCAACGGGAAGGGGAAGAAAGGGGAGGAAGGAGGAGGAGGTCGAGGCGATGGAAGCCCTGTTGCTTGCTGCAGTGTGTATTGATTTTAATTAATTTATTTATTTAGCAAGGGAAGAGCACCACACGCGCACCCCTGAGATCCCCCTCGGCAGGGACCCCTCCTTTTCTCTCCCCCCTCCCTCTTCTGCTTTCTCCCCCCTTTCTCTCCACCCCCCTCTCCACTTTCGCCTCCGCCTCTTTTAGTGCCTGCAGTGCATGTTGATTTATCTCCGTAGCCATTGAACATATTGTTTCTCCTCCCACACCCCCGCCAACCTCCAGATCTTGGCAGAAGTGTTAGAAGTGGGGGTTTTAAGTTTTTCTTTTTTTAATTCTCTTTTCCTTTATCAACATGATTGGGGAAGGAAGGCTGCCTTGTCCGTGGGTTGGGGAGGGATCGTGAATCGGCCAAGTTTCTTTCCCACCCTCTCTCCTTGGATTTCGAGGTACCTGTTTGTATAATAATCATAATAATGGGAGGTAGCGGTTTGGCCGCTGAGCTTCTCTCCCCCCCCCCCGGCTGGGCATGAGCAACTGCTAGAGGCTACATAAGGAATGACGCTTACTTTACAGATTTAAAGGTTGCCTTCTTTTAAATTTTTTATTTTGTTCATCTCTATTACTTTGAAATGAGTTTGGGAGCTACGCTCAAAAGAGGGGGAGTAAATACACAAAAGTCCTTTGCTGTTAGATTCTTGCCCCCCCCCTTTCCCCATTTCGGGTAGAAATTAACGGGAATGCTGATGACTTCATAAGATGTAAAACGGGAGGTTTTGTAACCTTTCTTGGCAATTTTTTAAAGCTTTTGTGTGGCATTTCCTGTATACGTTTATGGATAGGAAGCAGTTTAGCGGCTGGTCCGAGATCATGACGTTTTTTGCACAGGTTTTTAATAACTCCGAAAAGGAATTGTGGTTTCCTGGGGTGGGAGGGCGCTATGACCTATGATACTTAACATATGAAAGGTGCACATAGCGTTGCCTTTTTAACCGACTAACAAGTTGATCTGGTGGTTCGGAACTAGTAGCGCCGTAGTGTGTGTGTGTGTGGGGGGAGGGCATATTTATAGCGAGTATCAAGATATAAACTGGAAATTGCAATGGTAAATTCCTGTTGTAGACCAAACGTTTGTGTGCTTCTTGTCATGTCGAGGTTATTAAAGGTAAGTTCGGAAAGTGCTACACTCTCCCTACCTTATTTAAAATGTTAATGATAGAGAAAGGGGGCTTTTCTTGCTGCTGACGACATGTGTGTGACATGCAAGCCTGAACCACCCAGTCTTTGGGTAGGAGCTGTAAACATGTTTACCTGTTCAGGAAAGAAAATGAATTTTCTTTTAAAGATACTCTTAATTAGAATATCATACATCTAAAGCCTATCAGCAGATGCCCTGAGTGCCTGGATACCTTGCCTTTGAAATCAACGGGAGAAAGGGGGATTCTGACGGCTGCAGCAAATGGCAACTTGTGCAGGTAGAAAAAATGGTGTGTGAGGTTTCTGTAGCATGGATGTCAGCCCTCTCCCGTCTGCTGCTTTCATTCTCAAGGGAGGGATTTATTTACCGTGCTTGCTGTCAGTGTTATTCCTTTGTGCTTAATATTAGAAGAACAAATTTAATGCTGTTTAGTACCAATGTTTTGCCTGCAGTATGAATGATTTGTAGAAAACAAAAGGTGTATAGGATACCATTCCAGGTACACCCTCCTATATTTTTCATGTTTTTGGTTGAAATAATCACGCTGGTGTTCCCAGATCGAGAGCCTTTGGTTTATACCGGATTCTACCAATTGTAGTGTAGTAGTGTAACAGATAAGGAATAACTTCTGGTGCTCTGTGTTAACCATCATTAGATAGGCTAGATAATAGATGCTGGATAATAGAGATTTCTCAGCAGTGGGTTCCTATTTGACTTGCAAATGTTTTTGATCAGAATTGGCAGGGGAAGTTAACCCTTAAACCTTTGTCACAAATGGGCAATTGAAATTATTTCTGTGCCAGATTTCTTCCATAAAAGGATTGTTGATTTCTTGTCTTTCAAGGATACCTACCATGTCTACTGCTAATCCTGCATAATATTTATTCTGTCATCAGGCATGAGGAAGATAGTCCGTTATATTAAAATGAATTCCAGAATTGCAGCTCATACCTAGTTATAACACTAGACTAAGTACTGTTTTTAACTTAATTAGGTAATGTGCATCTTTTCTGAAAAGCTAAGATGCTTGTCCTCTATTTCCCAGTATGAAAATGCATATACTGTATTATCTTCATGTTCTAAGCAGAGTGCATCAGAGATGCATGCTATTTTAATCTCTCAAGGCTGCAATCCTCTGTTCACTTACATAGAACTAAGATCCCATTGAGCTTAATGGGACCTGCTTCAGAGAAGATATGCAGAAAATTTTGGTTTAAATGTACAGTACTCCTTGATTGGCTGGTGCAGGGTGACAATATATGCTTAATAGATGAAAGAAACTTGCAGTCATATCTACTATTTTCTCTTAAACTAAGCTCACCTATAGTCTTCATAAAAACTGGTACTATATACTCCAGCCATAATGAATCACAGTGCATATAACTTATAACACAATTATTATGTTTAGGTTTTCACGTACGCTTGATTTGCAAGCAGTAAGAATAATACAACAGAAAGGAATGCTGCCGTATTTTCCTGTCCAGCAAACTTTGTAATCCTAAATGCAGAATTAAGACTACAAGTTTCATTTTCTTTCATAGATCATCTGCAGTTGTTGAAGATAAGTGCAGATTATAGTGTGATCATTTAATTGCTTAATTTAAGTACTGTATAGTAGAGACAAGTCTGTAAGTTGCTTTGCATATGCACTGTTTATATACCTACCCAAAGGAAAGAACTATAAGTGGGCTGAAATGGAATCAGCAGTTGCATTCAGTATCTGAAACTCCACTTGAACATTTCAATACTTTCTGGGATGTAGACTTAAATATAGATTAAAAGTAAAGAGTGTTTCTCTGCTAGCATATTTAAGTGAGGCAAAATATTAAAATGGCACCCAAGCAAAGGTATGCAAGTCAACTATCTTATGCAAAAGTTTATTTCTTCTTTTTTACAGTGTTCTGTTGATGTTAGACTGTGTAGCTTGGCGGCTGTGGGTTCTTCATAAATCTACAAATAAGAGGGAACTTCTCCAATGATTTCATTAATCTAAAATGGTTATCGTACATAAATTATGCAGCTTAATTTTGAATTGTCATAGTACAGATTTAAACAGTACAGTATTTCAATTTTACACTATTTAGGCCTTCAGGGTATCTTATCTATTTCTTTATGGTTGAGTTAGGGTTGAGCTTGTACGTTTAAGAACTGCTTTCAGGGGAAAAATAACCCTGATGTCTCATTGTATTCTGGCTGTCATAGCTTTTGATGGTGAGCAAAGAGTAACCTCTTTTCAAATGCATCTGCTTTTTCCTGACATAATCTGTAACAGAGCACTGTTGCTTCTGCCACAGGAGTTCTTCCTACAGACAGCTGATTTAATGGCAGTAAGAAGAAAGTCTGAATATATGCCTGTTCACTTACTATAAATAGTAGGATATTTAAATACTTCTGCTCCAATACCAATTCCTTGAATCATAATATAGCTTTACAAACTTCTGTGAAGTTCAAAGAACTCCTTTTTTATTCTCGCTCATTTCTAACCATGGAAAGAGATGTTTACAGTTAATCACAATTGGATTAAGGCTGAGAGTTAATAGTTGTCTAAGACTACCCAGTAAATTCATGACTGAGCTG